CAAGGCCAGCAGTTCAAACTGTACAAGGTCCCTTTGAGTTAAAATTGACAACAAACACAACAATTCTGAACTCATGGGAAAGTGTTGTGAGATGTCAGTATATAGGTTAACTAAAATGACATGAGCAAGACAGTTCACATATTAATAGATCTATGTGATCAAGGGTAAAAATTCAAGACTTAGTCCCATAAAGGAAGTACTGACATGGAAAAGGGATGAAGTATCAGATGTCTCTTCACAGTGATAGGCAAAGATATGGATAGTTATTGAAGGTTAGCAAAGATAGTTATTGAAAGGTTTTGGTTCATGTTTAAACATAAGGTAATTTGACTGTTGAAAAACAGAAAAGAAATTGGTCTAAGGCAGGATTTTAGAGATGAAGAATGAATAGCAGAGGGTCCTTCCTAGAGCTGTGTATTCATTTACTAGAACTGTGGAAGGCTTTGGTGGTGGTGGTTATGTACCATGGAGTTGGTTCCAACTTACAGCAACCCTGCATAGGGTTCCAAGGCTATAAATCTTTACGGAAGAAGAAAATCTCATCTTTCTCCTGTGGAACCACTGGTAGTTTCGAACTGCTGACCGTGAGATTAGCAGCCCAACTCATAACCACCATGCTATCAGAGCTACTTACGATACCAAATGGAATTCTTATTCCCTAGGAATCCTGGTGTGGCTCTGTAGGATAAGCACTAGACCATAGGTCTGTTTGAACCACAAGGTTGGCGATTCAAACCTCACCAGCCCTTCCCTCAGAAACCCAACACAGGGTCGCTATGAGTTGGAACTGACCTAACAGCACTTAACAACAACAGTTTACTGTGTAGGAATCCTGGTATGGCCCTGCAGGATAAGCACTGGACTGCAAGGTTGGCGGTTCAAACTCACCAGCTGCTCCTCAGAACCAGTGGTACTATGAGTTGGTACTGACTCAATGGCTCTTAACAACAACAACATTTACTGTGTAAGACATCTTGGTGGCACAGTGGGTTAAACATTGAACTTCTCACCAGAAGGCAGGTAGTTGGAACCCACTAGGCACTCCATGGGAGAAGGAGGTGGCCATCTGTTTCTGTGATGGTTCACAGCCTCCAAACCCCTGTGGAGCAGCGCTACCGTGTCCTGTGAGGTCAAGGAGTTGGAGTCAACAGCATACTCACTGTATGCAAAGTGGTACTTGTCTGATTGTCAAGAGACCATGTCTAAACTTGGGAGGTTTAAAATAGGTAGCATCTATTTTAAATAGGGAGGTTACTATCTGTATAAGTCTGTGTAGTAATTTGCTAAGTGGTTAACAGTGTCACCACCATTGAGGGACTTGTGAAGTTCAGTGTTTTGAATGACTAGACTCAAAAGCTGACAGGCTGCTTTCTCTGTTACAGATTTATGTGGATGCGGCACCTCTGCCATTTCCAGGACACACCCTCATTGCCATCGCAGCAGCCATAATGCTAGGGGGATTAATTTTCATAGTATTTCTGTTTCAGCTGTATAACATTCACCCATGGGACAGATTCCAGAAATGCCTTGGAAAAAGAAAGTAAATGTATCAAATGCCACTATCTTTCAACAGGATCTTTGAGGTAACTGAATAGTGGACAAATGATCATCACGTTTTTCTCTGTATTTCCTAGCTTTATTAAATAATTCCTACAACAATGCATTTAAGTACTTAATGTACAAATGTTTAACATTCCTAGGTTGCAAGCAATAAATTAAATACTATGATGGTACCATTATAATTCAAAATGTTATTTGTCAGTATGTTTAATATTCCATTGCACTATTTTGAAGAGATGAAATAGTTCTTGTATTCAGGAGACTTTCCTTGAGGTTTTAAAGAAAAATATAAGATGATAAAAAATGTAAGATGGGTTTTCTATATTTTTGGAGCCTCCACCTTTGTCGTACTGTGGAGGCTTATGTGTTGTGCTGCTAGAAGCTAAGCCCCTGTTATTTCAAGTATCAGCAGGGTCACCCATGGTGGCCAGGTTACAGCAGAGCTTCCAGACTATAAGACAGACTAGGGGAAAAGACCAGTGATGTACTTCAGAAGAAAAACAAAACAAAACAAAAAGGTTAATGAAAATCTTATAGGCAATGACAGAACATCACCAATATAGTGGTAGAAGGTAGGTCCCTCAGGTTGGAAGGCACTCAAAATCAGACTAGAGAAGAGAGGCCTCCTGAAAGTAGAGTCTTTCTTAATGATGTGACTGGTGTAAAGTTTGGGGGACCTTCATTTGCTGACATGGCATGACTCAAAATGAGAAATAAAACATTCATTAGTTATCAGAATTTGAAATGTAAAATTCAATGATGGTGTTGGTGAAGAATATTGAATATGCCATGGACTGCCAGAAGAACCAACAAATCTGTCTGGGAAGAAATACAGCCAAAATGCACCCTAGAAACAAGGGTGGCAAGACTTCATCTCATGCAGGATGGATACGTTATCAAGGAGGGTCCAGTCCATGGAAAGGAGCATCATGCTTGGCCAAGTAGAGTCAGCAAAAAACAGGAAGGCCCTCAATAAGATGGATTGATACAGTGACTGCAACAAGGAACTCAAAAACCGCAACGACGGTGAGCATGGCACAGGACTGGCAGCGTTCAACTATCTTGTACATGGGGCGCATTATGGCGGAGCCACCTGGACAGCACCGAACACCAGCACAACGTTAGCTGAAGCACATTCAGTGGTCTCAGAGCTCCTTAGCCATGTTCTTTCCAGGCATAAGTGTGAGTAAGCGGCAGTTACTCCAGGCTAAGATTGGTGAGGAAGGAGGTTAATCTTCTACAGGAGTGTTTCCAGTGCCTCACAGGAAATGAAGATGGAGCAATTTGTGTTTCTTGACCATTGGGCTGCTAATCACAGGGTCAACAGTTCAAAACCACCAGCCACTTTGAAGAAGAAAGATGAGGCTGTCATCTCTTGTAGAGATTTCATCTCAGAAACCCTATGCAGAGTCACTATGAGTCAGAATTGATTTGATGGCCATGGGTGTGTTTTAAGATACGTTCAAAACCAGATTGTGGTACTTGACTTGAAGAAGGGGGAATATAACCCTCTCATGGGTGTCTGAGTAAGGCACTGGTTTACAAACCTAGGTGCAGCATGTACAATTCCAAAGGATGTGATGTACAACTATCTTTGCTCTCTCAAGCACCTGTTCCAAGAGCATCATGCTTGGCCAAGTACAGAATCAGTGAAAAACAGGAAGACCCTCAACGAAGGCCTGAGGATGGTCAGTACACACTCCTGGAAAAGCTAAAAAGGCAGAGCACATGGTTTTGACAACAGAGGGACATACAGGCCTCTAGTCCAGACAGTCCAGTTCTGAAAGCAGCCAACAGTGACCAGGCTGGTATATCATTACAGTTCTGAGAAGGCAGTGCAGCCAGGCAGATGGGAGAACCAGACTCTGGAGTCAGGCTTCTGAGGTTTGCCATTTACTAGGTGTATAGCCTTGTAAAGTTACTTAACTTCTTTGACCCACAGTTTTTTCACCTATAAAGTAAGCATGACACCCTAGTACGATTGTGGCGAGGATCAAGTCAGTGAAAACACAGAAAGCACTTAGGAAACTCACTGGCTCACAGTGGGCACCCCAGGAGTTAGTTGTTATTGTTACTATTATTCCAAGGTTGCAAGTAACAGAAAGAGCTTCTGATTATAATTAACAGGGGAAAATTATTGGACGTGTACTACAGGAATCAGATAACCTAAGCAAAATCTAGAGAATCGGTTCTTGTCATGGATAGAAATGAGAACCATCTGGGGGCCTCGGGAACAGGAGTTTGTTAGATGTCTCTTCAGAGACAGGGGTCTCTACAGATGTAGCCAAAATGAGAATCTACAAACCTGATTTTTTTTTTAGAATAGTTTTAGGTTTGCAGAAAAGCTCTGACGATAGTATGTTGTTGTTGTCAAGTGCCGTCGAGTCGATTCCGACCCATAGCAACCCTGTATAGGGTTTCCAAGGAGCAGCTGGTAAGTTTGAACCGCTGACCTTGCAGTTCACACGGCTTTGCAGTCTGGCTCATTAACCCACAGCGCCACACCAGGACTCCACAGTATAGAGCACTGCTATAGAAGAGGCAGGGGTGGCTTTCAGAGGAATGAAAAGATAATGGGATTTTTCCATGAACTTTTTTAAATTCCCCTCATGCCCCACATCCAAGTGTCCCTGTTGCTAACAGCTTACAGCTGATTTTTTTTTTTCTCCTAGTCCCATCTCCTACCGGCCTTGCAATAAGCAACTTGGAGAAAATCATTTAACTTTTCTGAAATTCAGTACTGAGGTCTACTTCATTATGGCCATGCTGTGCACACATCTGTCTGCCTGTAGATTCCAAGATGCTGCTGCTAACAAAATCCAACTATTTTACATGCAACCATCAATACATTCACCTCGTCCCCTAAAGGACACGATCCAAAGTTATAGCTAGCTATGGAGTCCAGAGGTAATGACACAGAGCTACCTGTTTTAAAGTCCAGGATCTCTAAGTGATAACCACTTTTTCTTAACTTGTGTTCAAAAGGGGAAACAATGATGTTCATTATGACACTTTTTCAGAAAACAAGACATTTCAAGAAGAGTTTGTGACCCTTGCTTCTATAATCAAAACTAAGGCTGATTTTAGACGTACCTGTCCACTACGCATTCCATGTGTTACTTTGTTGTTGGACAGCACCTCAGCTCATCAGGAGTCTTAGCCCAGGAGGGTGAACTACCTTCATTCCTTGGGAATGGTATTAGAAGTATGTGGCTCAAGATCAACCCAAATAAATCTTGGCCCTTATTGTGTTATGTTGTTGCTGTTAAGTGCTGTCGAGTAGGTTCTGACTCATATCCTCATAGTTTAGTCCAATGGACCAATGGAACATGTGAACAGCAGTCTTCATGATGCTGAGACCAGAAGAACCAGATGGTGCCTGGTTACCACTACCAACTGTTGTTCTGAAAGGGATCACATTAGAAGGTTCCAAGTAGAGTGGAAGAAAGGTGGAAGAAAACCCAAAATTATATATATATATAAAAAGATCAGGCTGACCAGTCAGAGAGAGACAGGAGAAATCTTAGACTATGACTCTCAGTCATCCTTCAATGTGGAACTGAACTCACCCTCATGGTTCAATTGTTAGCCAAGTAGTTGTTGTTATTAGGTGCCATCGAGTCGGTTCCAACCCTATGCACAATAGAACAAAGCATTGACCAGTCCTGTGCCAGCCTCACAATTGTGATGTTTGAGCCCATTGTTGCTGCCACTGTGTCAATCCATCTTGTTAGCCGTCTTCTCTTTTTCACCGACCTTCTACTTTTCCAAGCATGGGGTCCTTTTCTAGGAATTGGTCCCTCCTCACAACATGTCCAAAGTATAAGAGACAAAGTCTAGACATTCTAAGGAGCATTCTAGCTGTACTTCTTCCATCACAGACATGTTTGTTCTTCAGGCAGTCCATAGTACTTTCAATATTCTTTATCAATACCATAATTCAAATGCATCGATTCTTCTATGGTCTTCTTTATTCTTTGTCCAACTTTCACATGCATATGAAGCAACTGAAAATATTATTGCTTGGGTCAGGCACATCTTAGTTCTCAAACTAGTATCTTTGCTCTTAAACACTTTGAAAGCTCTTTTTTACAGTGGATTTTTCTAATTCAACATGTTGTTTGATTTGATTCCTGCTTCCAAGAGCACTGATTGTGGATCCAAGCAAATTGAATTGACAACTTCAGTCTTTTCTCCATTGATCATGATGTTATTTTTGGTCCAATTGTGAGGATTTTTGTTTTCTTTACACTGAGGTCAAATCCATGCTGAAGGCTTTCATCTTTCATCTTCGTATTTCAAGTCCTTTTCACATTCA